AAAGTGTGCAGTCCCTTATGGCAAGGTGGGAAGATAATCTCTCTGCATTGGTTTTCCATGTTGTCATTCCCAGCTTTGCTCCATTGAGGCTGTTAAGAGCAGGAATCAGATGCAGGCTGGCGTGGTCATGTCAGTTCATTACCTGACAGCATAGATAAGCTCCGGGGAAATCTAAGCATGGTTAACAGATATCAGCCAATTGAGTATGGTTCCCTGTAGGTGCTACTGCACATTCGAAAGCAACCTGACAAGAGGTTTAAGTGAATGTTTTGTTCTTGTTTTCTAGCACATGTCAACAGGTTTTCTGAGATAACCTGCATCTCTGTGGAGTATATTCTTGAGAAAAAGCAGGTAGGTGCCTGGCTGTTGTCAACGTGCTGAGGGAGCAGATTGCTTACCCTCCTTTGCCCCTCGAAAAATATCAGCCAGGAAGTTTAACTGCATGATAGTAAGGGGCTACCAGTGCCAGCCTCTTTGCTGTTGTTTTCAAGGTCAGATCGAATTGACCTTCCTCTTGCTTCATCTAGTTGCTCACATCGTTTCCTTTTGATTCCCTGGCATTTCTGTGTGTTCCTGCATTGTCTTTTGGTTAAGCTGACTCCTGCTTACTTCCTCCCTTTCTGCCTGTGCCTTCTCCTCCTCCTCCTCTCACCCTCTCTCCTGCCTGCTCTCTTTCCTCAGGACTTACTCATTCTCCTATGCCTTGTGTATTATTTCCGCATCCTGAAATATAGCCCAGATCCCTGACCTACAACTCCGTGGCCCATATGCCCCCCGTTTTCCCAGCTGCTTTCAGGAGCAGCTGTTTGACACAGCAGCAGGTTACTTCTGCATAGTGGGAGGCAGCTGCTGTACTGCAGCCTCAGGAACACAGCAGGAGCTGCTGCCTCACGTGTAAATAGCCTGCGTGCTGTATTCAGGTGGGGACAACTATAGGCCTTCCTATGGATGGGTTCATGCCTAATACAGCATTAAGTAGGCAGCTTGTCTCCGTGTGAGCCATAGGAAGACACTATTGTACACAGAGGCAAGGTGCAACTTGATGGTGTAGAGTCAGCAGCTCCCTTACCTGTGACTCTGGAGTGACAAAATACCACTCAGGAGATTTGTCTTGCTTCTGAAGGAGGTGTTGGATCCTGGCTTTGTTGAAGTTACAGCCCCAATTGCCTTCAGGGGTAGGATCTGTCAATACACCTGGTGGATGTTGTGCTCTGTGAGAGCTGCATGCCATGAGAGCTGCACAGACCCAGATTTGGCCTGTCGTGATGAGCCCTTAGGATGTCCACAGGGAGTTTCAAGCAACAGCAAAATGAGGTTCTAACCTACTCAACCTGTGCCTATATTAAAATGCCTACTGCTGAAAGTTAAATAACAGCAAGTGTGCATGATGCAGAAAGAGAACGTGAGGTTTTTCTGTAAGCAGAGGAATCTGCTGACAGATTCTGCATGTTTACACTGCTCCCGTTGTGGAGAAGGTCTCTGTGGCAGCACTAATGGCAATCCATAAATCAATACAGTGAAGCTACCAATAACTTCACTCAAAAAGAGAAAGTCTATTTTAATTACATTACCGAGCTCATCAGAAAAATGTAAATAACAAGAGGAGGGCAGTGTCTGTCATCACTTTGGCAGACCCAAAGTCAACACTCCTGGTGGGTGTTCGGATGGGATCCCCATCCCAGAGTGGAACTAGGCATTACCCTCTGCTGCAGCAGTGTCATCCTGTTTGAATTTAGCCTCTGCATCCTTTGCGGGAGAGAGATTTCCCCCTGGCGTCAGTTGCTTAGGTTTTTTCTGCTTCCTTCCCAAGCCAACGGCATGCAGCCCAGTCTCCGCAGCAAGCAGAGGCAGTGCCAGCCAGCAGAGGGAGAGGCCAGCCTCAGTGCATCATCCCAAACTTTGGACAGGAGAATTTTGCCATCTCCCAGTGTTTTCTGGGCAACATCTTCCACTACCAAACCCCTGGTGTTGAAAAATGATGGATCACTGTAAATATTGCTGTTTAAAAGGGTTCAGAAGGCGAGTGGTCATGGTATTGAAATAATTATGATAAATTGTTTATTGTAAAGAAACCTGTGTTGTAAAGTACCTGCGTACACTTCATAGAGTACTCTGAACCTTCCCAGCCCTGGGACATGCCATGCCATGCCATGCCATGTGCCTCAGTGCCCTTCTTCCTTCAGTGAAGGGCAGAGCATTAGCCCATTGCTTCACTTGCTGATGCTTTGCAAGCAGCCCATATTCTTTTGAAGAGTGCAAATCTCACACAGGAGGAAGTGGCAGAGAAATACTTTCAAGTGAGTGCAGCTCCTGGTGGACCCTGTCCCACGGATGCTGGATTGAAAAGAGTCATGTCCAGCTTGTACGGCTGGGGCCAGGTTCCCTCCCGTGGCTGATAGCTGCCACAGCAGGAACCGGCAGCTCTGCGATGCTGTGCAAAGCGTGCAAAAGGCAGGCACCTCGTCCTAAAACAGCGTCTCCTGAGACTAGTGTCGAAATTAGGTAGGTCCCACCTCTTGCCAGTTAATGCCAAGGTCCTCCAAGAAAGGCACAGTAACGGGATACTCGTTTGAAGCCCTTCTAACGGTAGACACATATCTGGAATGCTCCTCTTACCAGGACTGGACCTATTCGTGAGTGGGCTGTCATTACAGTATGGGGATTTTTCTTACTTGTTTTATGCAGGGTAGAAAATAGAGTTTCCTGAGCAGAGGACATCCCAGTGCATTTTTATACAGCCTGTAGTATATACATCCCCCCAAAGTCTTTGTAGGCTCTACCACTCTTGTCAACCTGGACAGGTAACGGTGGTTCTATGCTGGCACTCACAGTTACTGTGGTAGGACACAAGCAGACCAAGTGCTGGGTGGGTGTATATATGAGCTGAGTAGCTAGCTTATTATTCATGAATACTGTATGTTACTTGCTTTTTGGAACAACTGCTGCATAAATAGTCGGTACTGCTGAAGTGCTCACCAGTGCATGCATTTGCTGATGTTGTGCAGTCACCAGGCATGCCAGGACCAGGCGGGAAGTCAGCACAATGCCTTGAGATACGTTATCGACTGTAAATGTGGCAGGAAGTCATTAAAGATTTCCTGAGCTATTCCCTGGGAAAAGACTACCTCCAGGCTCTGGCAAAGTCAGAGGACTTGTGTTGCCAGGGCTGAGAAATCAAAAGAAAATTGCTCTAATAAGCTAATGTCAGCAGCTTCAGCAGGCAGCCTTCTGCTCCAGACAGATCCTGTGCCCATGGGGTCAGGGTGGCAATGGATGATTTGGTGTACATGTGCCAAGGAACTCTTTGTAGCTCACTCCTGGGAGGCTCATCTGAGCCTCCCTAAGGCTCTGGGAGCTACAAAAGGTATGGACATAGACAAGTCTGAATACTTCCTCTCTAAAGCTTTGTAAATCCTTATAGGTGAAAATAAATGACAGTTTATTTTAAGAAAGCTGTTTGGTTGCTTCATGAGCTCTCAGCCACACACTCACAGGAGAGAGATTTGCAGATGCCAAGCTCTTGGACCAACTGGGAAAAGACAGCTTCCTGCCATCAGGAGGCAATCAGAGACCAGGACATGAGTGTAAGCAGTGAGGGAGGCCAAACCAGGCAGTGAAGGTAAGGAGCTCCAGTGTTTGAATGGGCTCCTCCAAAAAGACTTGAAGGAGGTTAGGGCATGATTTGACAGTGATACCAGGAATTCATGTAACTCATCTCACTTGATGCATGGGATAACTCTCACTTTCGTTGCTGCAGATATGTCTGTCTTGAAAAACATTCTTGTTTTACCAGCAATATATGTTGTGATTCTTTCCCCCACAGTCTCACTAACCAGCCTCTGGTCGAGACTCAAACGCTGTTTCAGCAGATAAAAGTTCTTGAGGAATTGCTGTGGAAATCTCATTTCTGGCCTGTGCCTTCAAGTGAATTTGTTTTTAAAAGTAACTCCTAAGTCTGTGAGATTATTAAACTGCTGAAAAATTTAGTGTTCTGGATGAAAACAAAGTCATAATACTACTGTCAAGGGAGGAGAGCCAGATAGTTATATTTCACACTGCTCATTTTCTCACTGGAAAAGATGAGCAGAGTGAGAGACCTTTCTTCTTAAAACAAAACAAAAAACTCGGCGACAGAAGAAAAAGTGTGTGAGGATTAGACAGCCAAACTTCTAGTTTTGTGAACCTGCAAAATCCTACAAGTGAACTCTTGAAATCAGCTGATCTGCTATGTTAGCAACCAGCAGCACGCATCTGGCTCGAAGTCTAATTTTGAATGCAGAAAGCAGCAGGGACAGTAACAGTTTGAAGCTGCCACTGACCTTGATCAAGATGTGTATGGGGATTTTTCTGCTATTTATTTTCTACATGTTACTTGAATTTAGCACTTTTCTTTCTTAAATTCAGAGCCTTGCTTACAAACCTGCCAAAGATGATACAACTTTTTATCTTTTTGGTCGTTTGCTGGTTATTCTGTAACAAGCATGTGCTATTTGCAACACACAAAATACCAGAAATAAGCTGTCTCTCTTTTGAAAATTAACATTTACAATGAGTAATTTTTCTTTCTCCACAATGAACAGTTATAGATTTGTTAGCACCTAAGCAGCCCTGACCAGGAAGATTTTGGGATGTGAGAGAGCCATGAAACATACTTATCCTATCTTTTTGGCTGTACCAATGTAGGATACTGCATAGAAATCATTAGCCCTTTTTCTTCTCATTGTTGATTAAGGCACCCATTTAAAAGCCAAAAGAGTTTTTCTTATTTCACATTCACAGTATGTATCTCACATATATGTTTTTGATTCTCTTCCCACAGGAGAGAAAGAAAATACAGCTGAAAAACTAAGGTATATATCTCTACCAGGATTTCAAGGAGGAAAGCCTGCCTGGCTGGACTGCAAGGAGCAGTCCACGCACACAGAAACATTCCCCAGGACTGGTGACACTGTTGTTCAGCCTTGCTCTTGCTGAGAAAGTTTCCACACAACACTGCAAGAATGAATTTCCTCAGGCGGCGTCTCTCGGACAGTAGTTTCGTGGCAAATTTGCCCAATGGGTACATGATGGACTTGCAGCGCCCTGACAACTCCACGAGCTCCCCAGTTTCTCCTGCCATGGAGAGAAAGCATCCACAGCCACCACAGCCCATGCACTCCTCCTCTACTGGCGCCAGCATCTTCAGCTCCATCTCCAGTGCCATGAAACAAACCACGCAAGCGGCTGCAGGACTCATTGATCACTCAGCCAGCCCCACACCACCTGTGGCCCAGAAACCCAAGATTCTCCTAGTGATTGATGATGCACACACAGAGTGGTGAGTTATCATGGTCCTCCTTGCTGAATTCAGCTCCACAGGGTTGGGGCATAAGAGAGACCTGGGAAGCACAGGGAATCTGCAGGGGGGTACACATATGCTTTCATGTCTAGGTCACCAATTCTGGCCCCAGGTCAGTCTCTGTCTGGTGACTTGCATAAACGGCAGAGTAGGCTTTTCTCATACCATTCTTGAAAAAAATGTTCATTTGGTACTCATTGGCAAACTCCTTCATAGCCTCAGTATGAGCACGGACAGGGCATTCTTGGCCCAGCAAGCTTAGCTGAGCTGTCACATCTAGAAATGGTCCTGAGAGGTCACAGCTGAAGGTGTGTTAGTGATGTGGTTCAAGACCTTAGCCTGCTGTTTGTGTTGGCTCTAAAAAATGAAGAGAGGTTCAATCTCTGCAGCTTTCAATCTCTCTTGAGCTTTTCTCTGTATACAAATTAATACATAAATTATGAAAAGATAAGCCAAGCTTACTACTGCCACTAGTAATGATTAGAGTTCTTCCACTGTCAAGGGCCCTTCACCTTATAAGCAGAGTGGTTATTGGCAAAAGGCTCTCAGGCTCAGCTAAACCTCAAATTTGTCTTGTCCATGCATGTCTCTCTTTACAAATAAAAGTTTGGAAGTTTGTTTCCTGTGATACTGGGCAGCAGAGGACACTTCCCAAAGGGTAGGACAACTGAAGTGTAGTGAAATGTTGAGGAATTACTGCTTGCTGTGTGCTCCTTTTTGAGGGTGGCTGGTTTAGAAAGCTTTAGGCAAACTGGCTGAGAGACCTTCCTGGGGGAAAATCCAGAGCATGTGTTTGAGGAGATGCTCCTGTTTTACCTGCCAGCCTATCAAAACACAGAAAATATGAAAGGATAGCACAGGCAAGGGGACCATACTGAAGACTTCAAGGTGAAAGAATTTGGGTTACCAGGTCTTGGCCAAGTGAGATTATTCTATTGTTCTTTTCATCTCACAGCACTCTTCAGTAAAGTTTTCACCTTTGTTCTTCTCTGCTGTCCTAGGATAGTGGGGACAAGGTGAGACCTTCCTCCCTGGATGTATCTTCACAAAGCAAGAGATAAGCTTTTAGATAAAAAGGGGCAACGACAGAGTACAACTAGGTCAGGCTTCCTCAGCCAACTTAAAGTAAGAAAGGGGAAACAGTGGGATTATACTCAAAGGAAAAGCAACTTTTTAACTGAGTGGGAAACTCCCCGATAAGGTGGTCATCATATCAAATATTTCACCAGCCTCTTTTATCACAGTAGCAGCCTCTTAATGGCATATAGTTCAGCTGACAACACCAATCTGGCTCACCCCTGATCTCTCCTTCCTGGGTGAACCCACAAGCCTCTCAGGAGGCTGATGTTCACCAGCCTCGGTCTCCGATTAGCTTTTTTGCAGTTCCTTGAATATACTGGCAGGTGGCAGTCCCTTAACATAGCATCCTCCAGCTGAGGCTGGGAGTGACTTTAACACACAGCTCTAGCATCCGGTGCTTAGCCGGCACAGCTTAGTCCAAGCACAGTAATCAGAGAAGAAAGCCCTAGCTCAAAGGCCAGTCTAGTTTTTCCTTGAGATTACTGGTGCTGAAGGTAGTCTGGGCAAGGGAAAGGACAAGGAGTGGTTGGACTCTGTCTCAGTCTTTTCATGTTTTAAAATACAGACTGCATTCAAATCCTGCCTTTATTATCTCCCAACTGCTGTTCTCTCATGCAGACTTCGTGGTCTGTGAGCTGAGCTTGCCCAAGGAGCAGCAGCTGGGAGACATAAAGAGGAAGTATGGCTACCACCAGCACCGTCTTCACTCCTCCACTTGTTTGTAAGCACTCATGCATCCTGCTGTCTTGGCTGTCCTTCTGCTGTCTATAACTTAGCAGATTCTACACACTACGTGGGACACCTTTCATTTCTCCCAGCTCTCTGCCTCTATCCACAGGCTTGCAGATGTCAAATAATGCTTCTTGCAAAGGCTCCCTGCCTTCACTGTCTCTAAGGTTGTGAGGGCACTGAACAAAATTAATGTGTGCATTCATGACTGTATCCTGACATGTGTATGACATGAAAACTAATGAAGCAACATTATTAACCCTTGCCTGCAAAAGATTTCCATGGCTCTTTATAACATGGACAGAAACACAGCCTAAAGGTAGCATGTGGTCTTCTCTGAGAAAGCGTACCAATGTAATCACCCCCGGATGCCAAGAGTGCTACTTGGCAGTTGATTTTTGTGTCTCCAGGAAACTCATTGAGCCCTTGAGAGCAGCTCTGGAGAGCAGTGGCTCTGTGGCTCCATGGGTATTTATTCTTGGTAAGGTACTTCTGAGCAATGCCAGTCATCTTGTTCCTATCAGCCAGAGTTATGTGAGCTCAAGCTGACCAGCCCGAGGCAGCAGTATCTGCCTTGTGAGAGCACAGCTACAGGAACTGGTTATCCAGGGATTCTGGCCATCTACCCTCCATCACACAGGGAAACAGCCCCAGACTTTGGAAGGTGAACAATAGCGTATTGTTACTTCTGTGCTGGTGATTTTGGGTTTGGAAGAAGCATCATGTTCACAGTGCATTTCACCTCTGCCTGCTCAGGTTCTTGCTACTTGTGAAATTTCTGATTTGGTTTTCAATAAACCCTTTTCTTCTACCTTTTAAACAGTTTACTAGAAAAGATCCCCAAGAAATAACTACAGAAGCGCTACCTTTATTTCAAGGGTGGGGGCTTCCGCAATGCCACCTCCCCCATGGCAAGTTACATGGGGTTTACAACAAGGACTAGCTTGTTCACGGACAGGAGGGGTGAGAGACAGTGGAATATGCCATTTGATTTCTCTTCTCTAAATGAAAACACTTTCTCATAATTGGATACTGTAGCAGTATTGCCAAGACAGACATTAATTTATCATCACTGTTTGTATTACAGCAAACAGCTGCAACTGTGGATTAGGATGAGGTGTTGCACAAGTGCATGATGAAACAGTCTAACAACCCGAAGTGAATAATGAATGCACTTTAAAGTGACAAATGGCAATCGTTTGTATTTTTAAGAAGCACCTATGTGTCTGCTGGTACAGTGTAGCACTCAGCTTCTCTCAGAGGTCTGGAGGAAGCAAAAAGAATCCATGGGAATCCATGACTTGTCTTCCTCCATAAAATCCTTACCATTTTTGACATGCAATATGCTCTGGTTTGTTCCGAAGACAAAGTAGTATGAAAATAATGTGAGCACCACAGAATATGATCAGCTGCTTTCTGCATTAGCAGCAGTGAAAGAAAGGTACATTCTACTAAAAGTAATGGAACTCGACCAGCTTTCTGTTAAAGTGGCAACGTTTTGACCAATTTTCCATCTTTCTCAAAGCAGCCCTGCGGAGAAGGACTTGGGGATGTTGGTCAATGAGAAATTGAACATGAGCCGGCTTCAGTGTGCACTTGCAGCCCAGAAACCAACCGTATCCTGGGCTGCATCAAAAGAAGCGTGACCAGCAGGTCAAAGGAGGTGATCCTGCCCCTCTACTCTGCTCTCGTGAGACCTCACTTGGAGTATTGTGTCCAGTTCTGGTGTCCTCAACATAAAAAGGATGTGGAATTGTTGGAGCAGGCCACGAGGATGATAAGGGGGCTGGAGCACCTCCTGTATGAAGGCAGGCTGAGAAAGTTGGGACTGTTCAGCCTGGAGAAGAGAAGGCTGCGTGGAGACCTCATAGCAGCCTTCCAGTATCTGAAGGGGGCCTACAAGGATGCTGGGGAGGGACTTTTCATTAGGGACTGTAGTGGTAGGACAAGGGGTAACGGGTTCAAACTTAAACAGGGGCAGTTTAGGTTAGATATAAGGAAGAAGTTCTTTATTGTGAGGGTGGTGAGGCACTGGAACGGGTTGCCCAAAGAAGTGGTAAATGCTCCATCCCTGGCAGTGTTTAAGGCCAGGTTGGACAGAGCCTTGGATGACATGGTCTAGTGTGAGGCATCCCTGCCCATGGCAGGGGAGTTAGAACTAGATGATCTTAAGGTCCTTTCCAGCCCTAATCATTATGTGATTCTATGAATCTTCTCCAAGGCATGGCTCTAGCATGTTGCAAGGAAGCACGAAGTGAATCTGCCACATGCAGAATATGCATGAGAGGAAAACACTGTCTGTATGGCTCTCTTGTACTCCTGGTTTCGACAGACAGCCCTCAGAGGCACCCACAGCAGTGAATGTGTCTCTGCATTGGCACACTAGGGAAAAACTGCTTCTCTTCAGTAATTACTACTGCTACCTATCTGAGCTGGCTAGCCTTCACCTGGAGAATGAGGCTCCTTCTTGTAGGCTGGGTGTATCTGTGCCTTGGGAGGCTTCCAAAAATGCATCCACAATTCACCTATAGCAGCTGCCAGAAAAATAAAAGGAGTTCAGATGTGAATACACACACACACACACATGTGCAAATGCACAGCAAAAGGGAGTGGGACCATAAGGAAGGGGGATGGCAGCACTCCATGTAATGGCAGATGGGCCAGTGCTGGCAGCCCAACCTCAGCCAGGAGGAAAACATCCTACCTCTGGCAACCTCCCTGTCTGACACGCTATTAAGTAAAATCATGCTCTTGCTGCGTTGAATTTCTCAGCAGATCAAACAGGATTTAGTAGTCTCAATTGTTAACCCCCTTCCTCTGCAAAACTGCTCAGCTTTCTAGCCTAATGCTTCATGTTTAAACAGATTATTTGGGAAGTGATCGAGCACAGCTAAGGCTCCTATTAACAACATATGCTAAAAGCATTGCTGTCTGGACAGACAGAATAACAACGTTCTTGTTGTATTTGATAGGTATCTTAGTTGCATTTGTGAAATACCTCATGGCACTTTTCAAAGCCACTGGTGTGTTTTGTCCAGATTTCAAGCCATATCAAGTGCTAACAGTGTTACACGCTGTCTTGTACAAAATGCGTGTGTCCCGTGTGCAGCCATTCTACACGTGAGGATTGTGTCATGTTTCACAGGGAAAAAAAGCCACAGAGGGTACCT